AGTATTAGAGCCATTTCCCATGATCTATATAAGATTGTGAACCAAGATTGTAAGGGAAGATTGTGCCTCAATTGTTTCCCCATTTGTAGTAAGCACTAAAGCACACAAAATTTTGACTGTTAAAGACATGTTATGCACATTTCATGGCTTGTAAATAATTAAAAAAAAAAAAAAAGGAACGAAGTAATGAAAGACAATATATTGTTTATTGGTTGTTAAATGAGGCAAATGGAATCTGCAAGTTAACTCTTTAACAGATTAAATGGAGTACGGTGCTGGAACAATTCAACCCTTTTTTATCAGCTCAAAAACAATATAAATTTGCTAATCTAATACACCCATTCACTTAACTTACTATTGTTACAAAATATTTATATTATAATTATATTGATTGGATTCATATTATAATTAATTGATATAATTATGTTAATTGATTTTGTACCATAAAATATTATTTTATATAACTTTATAAATGAGCACATTATATATTAATTGAAATTAAAAAAGAAAGAGTTTCTTTCTTCAAATATCTTTATATTTTTCTTCTTTTTATTTTTTCTATCATGGTATTAAAGCCTTGAGGCCTTTTTTACTATTACTGTTCATCTCCTTTGTGAATTACTGCTTTGCTTGTAGGTAGTGCCGATCATTATTATCTTTGCTTTCTTTCTTGGACTTATTTGCAATTGGGTTTTCTTAATCCTGTTCCTTTGTTGCACCGACAATATGTGTTATTCCCACGACTAGTGTTGCTTTAGCATTTTCGCATCCAATTGCCATTGATTTTGCTCTTGATTTCTTGTTGCTGATTTTTCTCTTGATTTCTCACAATTGAACTTTTGAAATTGTTGTTGCCTAGATTTGTTATTGCCTCTTTCTCCTCCAGTGGCATCGACTGCACTAATCTACATATTCAGAATGTAGATCTTTTCACTAAAAACTCATTTTCCTAAACGCTTCCGCACTTTTCTTTTCAAATTCAAGCTAATCTCTTTATTATCACCTTGAGTTTAAGGAAATATTACAAAATATTTATATTATAATTATGTTATTAAGTTTACGTTATAATTGATTGATATAATTAAATTAATTGATTTTGTATTATAAAATATTTTTTTATATATACCTATAAATAAGTA